AGCAGTGGATTTGGGGGGGGGGCGTAACGGAGTAGGGGGTTGCTGGACACCCTGGAAAGCCCTTCTCGTGTTTCGCAGCAAAACCCAAGCTTGGCTTCCCGTGTCGGGAGAGGTTGCTGGTGCTGCCGTTCTCTCCGGGCTGAGCTGTGCTGCCTCTTTAAGGGTTGAAGGATTTTCCCTGCTCCTTGGCTTTCCCAAAACAGCTGACTGCACTAAAGCTCCTCTCCAGAGGAGATGTGCGTGTTGGGCAGATATTGCACCATGGGTCTCGCTGTCCGGGTGACCCTGTCAGCACCGGAGCTGAGCCCTGCCTCTCTCCGGAGCTTTGCTTTAGTCTCGCTGCTATATCAGGGGCTGAGTATGTGTCAGACGGCAGTTTTCAGTTTTTTCCCCTCTGCTTCCCTAAAAAAAAACCCAAACAAACCATCCTCTTTCTCTGGCGCTGCCCTCACAGTCTCCTGACCGTCCCTCCTGTCTCCTCCTCCCCTCTCCAGGGCAAACCTGGTGGACCTTCAAAAAAAGCTCGAGGAACTGGAGCTGGACAAGCAGCAGAAGAAGCGCCTGGAAGCTTTCCTCACGCAGAAAGCCAAAGTGGGCGAGCTGAAGGACGATGACTTCGAGAGGATCTCCGAACTGGGGGCTGGCAATGGCGGTGTGGTCACCAAAGTGCAGCACAAACCCTCAGGGCTCGTTATGGCACGGAAGGTAATTGGGGACAGGAGGAGTGGGCTGTGGTGCCGTGCTGCAGCCTCTGGCGCTCGCCCCGGCCCTGGGAGAGCCGCCTTCGGTTGGGATCTCTCTGCACTGACCCATCTGCGCCCTAACCACCTCGCCTGGGTGGGGACCATGGTCCCGGCTGTCCCCAGCTAGGTTTTACGTGGAGCCTCTTCCACGCAGCTCTTCATCTCTGAGCTGCCCTGCCTTGTCTCCGAGTCCTCCCCTGGGAGGGGCCGCGCTCTCTGCGACAGGTCCCTGGGGTTTGGAGCACCTTGTGTGAAAACAGAAGCTTAATTCTTTTTTCCAGCGAAGCTGGTTTTAGTGAACTCGGCTGACCTGGATGGAAGTAGTAGGAAGCGGATCTCTTGAGGATCCTAGGTCGTGGCTAACGAGGACTGGAAATGGCAGGTGGAGGGATGGGTTTGGCGCACACACGTTCCTCGCCCCTCACCACCCACTTAACAGATCCCCAAGGTGGTTCCAAGCAGCCACGACAGTGGTTCCTCTCGGACGTGGGTTTATGGGCGACGTCTTCTACTGTGGCGCCCTATAGTAGAAAACTAGGAGACGCTTCGTCCGCCTCTCAGAAAAGGCAGTGCTCGGCGAGAGCAGTGCAACCGCTCATCTGTAGGACAGCTGCCTTGGAAGTCTCTGGTCTCACCTGCTGCTGGGATGGTTTAGTGGGTCTCCATGAGCAAATCCGCTTCTCTAGGTGGCCTCGCTCAGAGCTGAGCTCTCAGAGTCTTCCAGGGCATTGGATTTGGGAGCGTTGGGTGTCACTGGGTGGTTTTGAGATTGTTGGGAGCTCCGTGTTCAGAAACTGAAGTGAGGGCAAGCTGCAGCGCTGCTGTCCTTCCTGTAGAGACCAGCCTTTGTAGGTCTGCGGGAAGGACAGACGTCCCTGGGGCTGGCTGTCCTAGAGCTCTTTTTTCTGACCTGCCATTGTATTTTCTAGCCTCTGGCTTCCCTGCCCACAGCTGTGTTAACCGACTCTACGTGGAGCCGAAGGACTAAAGCAACTGCTCTTTCACGTGCATAATCCTCATGGGTTTTTTTTTTTTTTCTTATTTTCTGTGGTTTCCTTGATATCAGAGCACCTCTTCTTACAACACCTACAGAACTTGTGAAAATGTTCCCGTCTGCTGAGTCAGATCTGCATCAAACTTCTGACTTGTCTTTCCGCTCTGTATCCTGTGCGATCTCCGCGTGTTACATGGCCGGCAGTTGCTTCAGTCGCTAACAGGCTGCACCGGGCTCTGCCTCTCCCTTTATCCTTAATGTTAGTCTGCAGGTGGTAAAAAGTCTACGCCAAAGCAGAGCTTCCCTTGAAGACTTTGTTTCTTTCCAACACTCGGGACTTGCTCGCGTGGTTCCCGTAAGTTGTGGGTTGTTTTTTTTTCCTCAGGCGTTACACCTTGAATATTTTTTTTTGTTGTTGTTCTTGGCAGCTGATTCATTTAGAAATCAAACCGGCCATCAGGAATCGGATTATCCGAGAGCTGCAGGTGCTGCATGAGTGTAATTCCCCATATATCGTGGGTTTCTATGGAGCCTTCT